CTGCCTTCCATAACAGGCTTTCAGCCAATTATAACAGCAAATTGTGACATTTCCCATCTACAAATGCACAAGGTGCTTCTCTGTGCTCCAATTTTAAACAAGAAATTTTCTCTATTTTAGCTAAAACTGAATAAATTGAGGTATCGACAGGTGAGTCCTCCAGCAAAGCCATGTTTGTTATGCCCCGGCAAGGCCCTTCTGACTGTCAACATTCCTACATGTCCCACCCCAAAAAACACTGCTGGCATGTCATTGGTCCAACTCGCTGGGTATTATGAAAAGGATGTATTAGCGGGGGTCTTGGGTCTTTCAAGATGGATTTGCTTTGAGACTGAAAACTCAGATCTCGCTACAATCCAGCTTGCAGTGCAAGGTTAGTTTAAAGTGAGAAAGGATGTAAAACTCCTGTCACACCTTGACGATTTAGACCAGCGTGTGCCTGACATACGAAAAATCTTGAAAAATACGCTGGCATACAATGGATAAGTTATGGGTAAATTTTGTAAAAGTTATGACATGGTGAAGTACACATCGACCTAAGGCAAGTACGTCGAGAAAGTTTAGAGCCTGCTTTAAAAATTTTCCAACGTATGCCAGCCTATGCTCATACGTGAGCCATAAGCTAAGTTATGTGATTGTTGACATACATTAAGTGTAAGTTACTCATAAGCCATAGCGTCTAGCTTATATAAAACGTATGGGTAACTTGTGCCTAACTTATGTGTAACTTATCAAGAACTTATCTCCAACCCATATCAACGCTTTTGATGTGTCCCAGACGACCACTGCAGATGATTCTAACTTACAGCTACCATATAATGGCATATTGGGGGCATTTTGTTATAAAAGGGGGTTCACAGGAGGAAACCATCAGTTCTCCTCCAGACTTCATTCCCATCATAGGGTGAGCGAGAAGGTGAGTGTGATGGATCCTCCCTGCGTTCACTACCGGGCATTATGCATAAGTTAGGCTGTCGTTGGACATAAGTTCTGGGCTCGTTAGGAATATGCTATGTATACGCCCAAAATTGAAAAAATACATAGAACATGCAGCGTATGCCAGCATTTTAGGAGATTCTGGGATGTCGGGCATACGCTGACTATATCGGCAAGGTGTGACAGGGCCCTGAAAAGGTTAAAGGGGTTTAAATGCTTTCTTTTTATTTTAACCAACGAGATTGTTTCGATAAATGAGAAGAGTATTGATATGTTTGAGCATAATATAAAGTAAAATGCAAGGAGATACCAACCTCATACCAGCTAGGATAGTCAGGCGCACTGGTGAAGTAGGGATTCTTTGATTGGCCCCATTTACCTTATAGTCATTGACTATGAACTCCTCTGTTTACCAATTTTAAAGCCAAATGTGAGGTTTTATGCTCACCAGCTGATTCCAAAAACAGCTCATCTAAAAACAAAGTGTCTGTAATTAGAATAAATCCAGACGCTACCATGTGGGGACTCATATAACCAAATGCCTGCAGATCTAAATGAATTCAAAAATGTAGTAGATTGCATCGGTCCACAAAAGGTCTCTACAGCAATAAACAACTAATAAGGTCATCCAGAAACAAGCTGTTAGATATTATACATGTAATGAAACGCAGTTGTGTGGTGCACCTCATTAGTGTAATAATGAAAACAAAGGAAAAGGGCATCTCCATTTATCACACCTCTTTTCTGTCTTTAATTTGTTTCTTCACAGATCCAGAGCATCACTGACTCGTCCCGTGGATCCATCCGCCGTAAGAACCCGGCCGCTGTGACCACCCAGCTGAGCGTGACCGAGGAACCGCCCGCCACCAGCAAAGAGGAGAAGCCTGAAGAGGAGGTGGGATCTGTTTTAACCAGGGAGCTTGTCTGACTTGGTTTTAGAGTCACATTCACCTGTGTGGTCACTGGTCACAGAAACTCAAGTGGGAAAACCACTAATCCTTTGTACAACATCATGAATAGAATAGTAAAAAGGAAACACAGATAAAAGCATTTGTTTATTATCCATAATGTAAAGTTGCAGGTACTATAGACTTAATGCCAGGAGCATGATTAAGCAAACAAGAATAACCTGACATTTTGGTTCATTACATCAGTGGAAATGCTTTGTTTTCTTTTAATCTGATCCAATATTTATCCCAGACGCCTTTTTTTATTTTATAAAGAGCCTGCAATGCTCAAACAAATAGGTAATGAACTAAATAACAATAAACAAACCTTTTTAATCCTCTTTCTCCTTCCTATTCTATCCTTCCTAACACTGTTGCTTTCTGTAACTTTACCTGCATTCCAACATTTCCATTTCCATATTTTAACGTGTACATAAATCCACATCCCTCATCTTTTTCCTCCCGTCTTATAGTCAAAGTCTTCCCCTGTGTCCCCCCCTCCTCAGGTCCAGCTCATCCATGACAACACCACCCCAGCCAGCCCTGCCACCCCGTCCACCACACTGACGCCTGGGGAGGAGGCACAGAGTCCCGGGGAGCAGATCCAGAGGACCTGGACGGAGAAGTGTGACGGAGAGGCAGCCAAGCCTCGTGGAGGGACCACACAAGAGGACATCAAAGACATCTTCAACATGAAGCCGTGAGTGCTCTGCAATGCTCAACCGACTATTAGTGTCAGCGAACCCTTTCATGTAGTTTTATTTAGAAAGCGTTTCCAGAGAGTTCTCCTTGGACACCTGTTGAGTTTGTTTTTGAGTGCAATCAACTTTTTTATTTCTCTTCTCGTGATGCTGCAGAGAGTGGGAGAACCTGTAAGTACTGAAGTCCTCGTGATCCTCATTTCATCAACCCACCTCTCATACTGATCAAGTCAGGCAAACGATAAGATGAGGATGTTATGGAAATAAGTGTGAATGTGCATTTGTCATCACCTCTGAGCATCCCATGATTCATTTTCAGTTTGGTTTCCTCTCACACTATGTCTCCTCTTAGGAACCAGTCTAACTTGAGGCGTATGCACACAGCGCTCCGGTTGAATGAAGTCATTCTTAAGAAGTCTTCAGAGGCCAAACTAGTCCTCCTGAACATGCCAGGGCCACCCAAGAACCGGACAGGTGACGAGAACTGTATCCTTTATTGGGCAGAACCAAAGGAGACTCCAACACGGCTCTCTAAAGTGAAACCTGAGACCATTTCATCGTCCCTGATTATTACACAAGAAGTGGAGCCAATTTGGGTACTTTAATAATTAGATCAAAAAGAATTACTGGTGTTTTAACAAACCTTGAAAACCTATATTAACCTTTTTTCATTCAGATTGATATGGGGCGACCAACATCCATTTGCTTTTACTCCACAGATTCAGGTGGATTTATTCAGTAATAGAACATCTAGGCTACACTAGCAGGAAACAGTCAACTTCAGATACTGGCCATTTCTCAATATGTGTACTTATGTGTTCTCATGTGCTTGTATGCTCGTGAAAGATCATCAGCCTCAGCCCCAGCACTGCTCTAACTCACAAGAACACAAGACCGAGAAGGGACAAAGTCCCCGGATGTTGTTTTTGCCCCTCCTTCTTTACTGAGTATGCGTCAGAGCAGACTTGTCTGTCTTTAAGATTCACAGCCGTCCCCCAGCATGCACCGCAGCACCAGCAGCTTCCAGAGGAGTGTTAACAGAGCTCAAAGTAGTGAGTTAAAATTTATCTTTCCTGTTGCTGTTGTTCTATATAAGTACGTTTTAAAGTAATTTGAAGCGAGAGCATCAT